TTTTGATTAAATTATGTTTACACTTATCCTCATTTATGAAAACTTAAATTTTGGGAATTAAAAGACCCCCCCAATCCATTGAAAAATATATAAGAATTATTAGAAGTAATATAAATAATCAAAAATATAAATTAAATATTTATCATATATATTTCATACAAATAAAAATAAAAGCGCTGTATCATAATTTTAACTCTACCTTGCATTAAAAGCTTAAAATCATTAAAAATGCAATTAAAAGGAATGGCAAGTAGATTATTATATTAAAAAATAGTAGTAATTCATTTCAAATATTATAAAATATAACCATTAATAAAATCTTTCCATTATTAAATTGAGAAATATAAAAGAAAAATGTACAATAAAATCTAATGTTTTATAATTAAACTTGTGTCAAAATTGCAAAACATTTTCCCTTGAGTATATTAATTTAGTCATGTCCGTTAATAACTGCTTTATGATCGAATATACTATTTTTTAAGGCAGCTTAACATTCTTTTGCACCTGCTTTGGACAGTTATTCAGTTAAGCTCTTTGAAATTTCCCACTGAAAATTTCTCACCATAACAAAAACTTCTACATCACTTCTACTCAGCACAAACCTAATCTGAAAGCACAAGTCTAGTACAAGCAGTGTGTATCAATCAAATAACATATATTGTAGAGATATCTCAATAAGAAAAAGCATCAATTACTAAATATTATCCAAAGAATTTTTAAGAAATGAAAGTAACAAACACCATCTTTGATTTTATATCCAAGGGAATTTAGAGCATATCCTATTGGTGTGGTTTGTCATGTGTCAGCCAAACTTAAAGAGCATTAAAATTTTGCATCAAGGAATGCAAATCTTATGTACAAAAAGGAGAAGCTGATCATTATTTTAAATTTGGCAGAAAAGGTCCAGAACTTCAATAAAACTAGCAATTTTGATAGCAGATACAGGTCCCTCTTCTTCAACTGCAAAAATATTTTTTTTGCCCAATATGAGAGAAAAATAACCATTTTATAGCAAAAGTACACATAAAAATGAAAACGTTCTGCTATCTGTTGAGGAAAATAGTAATATAATGGGGAAAATGTTAAGATATTAGAAGTCTAAAAGTATCAGGAAGAATTTAATTGATATTAATGCCATTAACAGAGATAAATGTTTTTGAATGTAAACACAATACAATTTACCAACCCAAGAAGCTTTACAACTTTTGGAGAGTCAAGTTGAAATTACGATGAAACGTCGAATTCATATTCTCCACTGAAGATTTATTTCTCTTTTTTCAACATATCATTTGGATTCTTTGATGCAAAATTTTAACGCTCTTCTAGTTTAGCCAATGTATGAAAATTCACAATGGCTGGATGTGTCACAAATTACCTAAGAATTAAAATCACAGATGCAATCTTGAAACAACAAATAATGAAGTTTACTGATATGTGAGAAAATGACCTCAATGTTGAATCTCTGAAGAACCTGAGCAATTTTGTAACTGAAGGAAGGATGAAATATAATGAAAACAAGATTATTAATGCTATTTCTAATAGTACAATGTTTTCTTTGTTAGCAGAAAGGAACATTTTTAAAAGTTTTTTATCAGTGGGAAAAAAATCCTGTGTCAGTGGCATTCAATTTTAAATAACTAAGTTTATGAGAAGGCAAAGATTCTGAAGAACAAACTCTGAAAGCACAATACGAGGGGGGCAAGAAAAAGAGAAACATCTGATTGTAAAGCATGGAACATATCCAATTTCTGTTTTTGAACTTAAATAAATTAAAGAGCAATAAACATCTGAATTTAATGTGTCATTTCCTAAAATGATGTTCAGAATAAAGCACATGGAAAATAGGGACAAATCAATCCCTCAAGCCTTTCCAATGGCCACATGTTAACCCTTTCCATACGGGTGTGTCGTGTATGACCTGGCAGTATGCAGTTCATCTACAATGGGTGTGAAGTGTGCATCTCAGATGATTAATGTCTAACTATGACTGTAATGTATACATGACAATCACATGGAAAGAAATGTAAATACGAGGGCAATCCCCCCAAAAAAAGGTCTCCTATATTTTTAGATATACAAAAAAACGTTTATTTTCTATAATTGCTACATCACTTTAAAGATTGAAAAATGCTTTATTTTTCAACATAATCGCCATTTCAGTCGATGCATTTTTGTAAACGCTGTGGCAGTTTTACAATGCCCATGTCATACCAGCTTGCTGCCATGCCCTTCAGGAAGCGTTGAACCTCATCTTTCACCTCATCATCGCAGCAGAACCGCCATCCAGACAAATGTTCCAATTGTCATGTTAAGGAACAGGTGGAAATCGCTGGGTGCCAAGTCCGGACTGTAGGGTGGGTGTGTGATGACGTTCCAACCAAAATTTTGCAGAAGATAGACGGTTTGACGGGCGACGTGTGGACGGGCGTTGTCGTGGAGAATGCTTACACCCTTGCTCAACATCCCTATTTTCAGGTTCTGAATTGACCTTTGAAGTTTCTTCAGTGTTTCACAGTACATGTCAGCATTGACTGTTGTCCCAGCAGGCAGAAAGTCAACCAATAGTACCCCATTCCTGTCCCAAAACACAGTTGTTATGACTTTACCGTCAGATTGTGTTTGCTTGAATTTTCGTGGCTTGGGCGAAGAGGGATGCCGCCACTCGCGTGACTGTTGTTTTGTCACAAGTGTAAAGTGGAATGCCCAGGTTTCGTAACCCTATACAATCGAGTCCAAGAAGTTGTCCTTTTCATCTCCATAGTGGTGAAGAAATTTGCGGGAAGAATCAACCCGTTGCCGTTTGTGGTCTTCTGTCAGCATACGCAGCATCCATCTTGCACACACATTCCGATATTGCAACTTTGCCATTAAAATCCTGTGGATGGTGCTTCTGGAAACCTCAGGAACCAAAATGCAGAGAGCATCCAGAGTGATCCTTCGATCTTTATATGCATGAGTTCCTCAACTTTCGCGATTGTCTCTTTGGCAATTGATGGCCTCCCTTTCCTTTCTTCGTCATGAATTTCAGTACGACCGGCTGTAAACTCTCTACACCACTTGCGAACGTTTTTGACATCCATGCACGACTGTCCATACACTTCCATTAATAGGCGGTGAATTTCAACCGGTTTAATGGCTTTTGCATTCAAAAAGCGAATAACCGCGCGCATTTTGCACTTGGCGGTAACATTTATCAGGAGCTCCACTTCGAATGACTGCCAAGCCAAGACTGAGCATCCGAGCGAATGCATGCTTATGTGGTAGCGGAGAAGGCACCATTCACAACAGTGATGCCAACAACCATATTAAAACTTTCTCTATGTCCCCAAAATATAGGAGACCTTTTTCTGGGATTGCCCTCGTATATTTAATTCTAATAGATGGTGCCCTATGCCCATGGTACCAAGGCAAATGGGAATATGATGCCTAAACCTTAACCTTGGACTGTTTCATTTGATTCTGAAGGGTAGATAGCGGGGTTCAGTAATGCAAAACAAGCACCTTGGGTATGCAAGTGCATTTTTGTTTGTCTTTCTTTCGAGTGGTTTTTCTAAGGAAGCATCTCACATTAGTGCAGTTTTTAGTAAGTTTCTTCTTTTCATATGTAGAGTAAGGTACTTTTTCTGTTGTGTGAATATAATTTTTTTTTTTTTTTAAACTGTCAAAATGAGAGCGAAGGAAGCTCACTACACCGCTTTACTACAAGAAGATCAGCGTAGCAATAATGTCAGGGCTTTAGCAGTAAATAAAATTACAAAATGGGAGGAAGTATTAAGAAACCAAACTGTATATTGCTGCACAACAAAAATATGGAAGGACTGGATATTAATGATGCAGTCACTACTTACTCTCCATTTTAAAGAAAGTCTTTCAAATAGTATAAGAAATTAATTTTGGGGCTCCTTGATACTACGATCTGTAATGCTCATGTTTAATACGATGTAAATATGGTACAAAAAGACCATTACATCAGTTTCAATTAAAAGTAATCGACCAAATTACTGAGACAAGAGAATGTCAATTTCGGGCATTAGCTGCACCGATGCCATTTCACTTTTCAGAAAGACATTTCCAAACTCTAATTCTTAATAAGAAGAAAGAGAAAATGAGAAGAAGATAAACTTTTTACTCTCAAACTATGAACAGAAAGCAAGTTTCAGAAAAAAACAGCTTACTTGTGCAAAGAATATAATGCAAGATTCTGCATGAACCCATGCTTCAGAATATATCACATAGAAAAACACTTTAAATTTCATTGTTAACGTATATATGTATGTGTAGATGTGCTTGTACAGGTTGTTGCTTTATATTAAATATTTTAATTGTAGTTTAACAAATACTGAAAGTTTGTTTTAAAATTCCTCTTTCATTGTTTATATATATGATTACAACTGCAAAAGTTATGTGTATTTAATTCTATAATTCACCAAGTATAAAGGTAAATGCATTTTCTGTACTATTGAAAAAATTGAGTTAAATGGAATAAAAGTGTATTTTTAATGGATATTTTGGCAAAATTAGGCTTAGCAAATGAGCACCTGAAATCCTGTGGAGACATCGCAGAAGCTTGGCACTCACAGCGACAAAGCATGAGATAACAGTGTCATCCGTGAAGAGTTAATTTAATCCATTTTCACGTTACCTTTACTGTTAAAACACATGTCCTGTATTAATTTAATCAGTTTTCTGTCTTCACATTTTATAGTTAATTTTCTGCATAATTATTAAGCTGCAGGCCTTGTTCAAACACTATAGTTTTACTTTTAAATGAAGGCCACTAGTACATTCAAAACTGAGTTATGATTCATAATCTATAACACATATAATAATACTTCATAAAAAATTGATAGATCAATAACAGTTTTTAATTATTAAGTCTTTTATGAGGCGCCAATATAAAAAGACATACATTTATACCGTGAAAAAGCAAATTATACCTGCATTTTAACTAAATGGAAAATAAGATTCCATAACAGTAAGAAACTTTATATTTAAATCACCTATTTTACTCATTAGATCCAATATACTTGTCTGTAATTGAGGAAGAGATGCAAGTTGGGTGTTTAATTGTCGAATAACAGACAGATGTTCAAAACAGTATGAATGAAGTTTTCCTATAATGGCATCCACTTCCTGTATTAAAAAGAAAATAAATAAAAGATAAAAATTTTTATTCTTTAAAAAAAAAAATTACTTAATTATATATAGAACATATATAATTAACTCTAAATGGAATTTGTATCCAACTAGATCTATATTGATGAAAATATATTTATGGAACATTATGAATTTTATTTATTTATTTTACAAATACCAAACATTAGTGCTTAAGCCATTAGTTTAAGAGCTCTCTATTACTTTTTAACAATGTCATCATACCGAGAAAGTGTAATACAATTATTTAAATGTTCAAAAATCATAGGCTGATTTGAGTCACACAAAATACAATTTTGAGAATCCACCACTCCAATTCTGTACAGGTGATCTCACAAACAATTATGTCCAGTCAGACATCTAAATAGAGCTACCGCTGTCTTTCTTGGAAAATAGAGAAAGAAAGTTGTTTTTTCCCTCCCCCCAGAATCCTCCAACTCTTAATCCATAGCATGTTATAAATCATATCCAGCTTGAGAATTTTCTTAACAGTTAGGTTAACATACAACTTAGTCATATGAAAAGAAAGCAGTCAATTAATGCGTTGCATTATCAAAGTTCCTTTCTTAGCCAAAGTATCAGCTTTTTCATTTCCCATAAATCCACAGTGGGCTGGAATCCATTGGAAAGAATTTCTGTGTGGCACTGCCTTAAGCAAAGGACTACAGTCTAAAACTTTCCGGGAAATATTTTTTTAAATAATAAATTTTAATAACTCAGAAGAGCTGTAAGTGCACTTTTGGTATCTAACAATATGTGCCCTTTTAGTCCAAAGTGGCTTTATCACTGAAGGACTAACGTTTCCGTTTTGCGATTTTGCGTTGGTTCACTATAAATGTCCGTTTCACTTTTCAAACTGTTGCCACCAAATATTAGAGTCCTGCATTATATTTGAAGAAATTAAATAATAAAAAAATCTGCATAAATATATGTATATTTCTCGCATTGTGATAAAACAACGGTACATAGCGCCATCGAATTTTGAATGACGTATTCCTACTGCGAACATGAGCATGTGCAAGCCCAAATTTGAAATCTGGAATTTGCTTTATTATCGATTTCATATTTTGTTAATCTTTAACGAATTTTTGATTAACAAACTCAAGAATTTCAAAGCGAGCAATATCAACATTGTACAGAAAAAACATTTTTATCTTCAGAGCGTGAGATTCTGTATCGGAAATTCTAAAGATATGCACAATTTAAAACTATTTCGCGATATTGCTCTTGAACTGAATTTTATGGTCTAAGTGCGAAAAACGTGATATTTAATAAATAAAGGTAACAGACAAAATGTTAAAAAAATGCCCCTTTGGCTGTAATTTAAAATCTGAAATTTAAAATCTTTCTTTTCATGTTATTATTTTTTTTTTTTTTTTAATATGTGCCTTGCCTTTACAAAAGAGTGGCTACGAATTGACAGTTGTTGAATAGCAACAGCAATAGCTTCGATTTCCCCATCAAAGGCAACAGTAAGAGAGCCCACTGGTAAGTGGCTAAAAAGCTCGCTATGGATACCTGTTCCGGCACAGCGCATTCTCTCTAACATAGAGCCGTCGGTGTAGACATGCAACCCTTCATTTTGAGGATAGTGAACCCCAATAGTTTTCATTGCAATAGATTTTAATTGTAAATCACTCACTTCATTTTTAACAACTCTTTGGATAAGATCAATGGAAGATTATGGAAGACAAGTCAAATGTATAATAGATTCCTAGCGCACTTATCATTATTTATTTTTTTAAACTAGCAATTTCTTTTAAAATAGTAAATCGCAATCCCCATGCATTTTATTTTGTCTTTAATAATTTTAGTGAATCAAGCAACATTATTTATAAAATTTCTTATTTGGGGTAATAAAATATTTTGAATTGTACATTTGTAGAAAATTTTATTTTTGTAGTCAATAAATTTATAAGAAAATATTATCATTATAAATATAAAATTAGCTTAAAAAAAGATGCCCTCTCACTCATCTACATTAAAATCTGAAGTATATTTTCTTTGATTTAATTATACTGATCTATTCATACATTTAGATTTTCAAGACTAAATAAGATCTACATATTCCGACTTATATATCTTCATCTTTAAAAGCAAATTTGAAAAACTGCAAGTATATTTTTGAAAGTATAAATTATCGTCTGCTACTTGACAGTTTTGTTATCATGCAAAATGTCACTTTTAAAGAAGCTATGGATAGAAGGCTATATTTGAGTTCTTTCTGAAGAAAAATATTTATATCTAGTTATTAAAACACATTGTGAAAGCTATGGTTTTTTTATATCTGCAACTACAATAAGTAATGTTGTCAACAACAATGAAAAAAAAAAGGTCAGAGTTTAGGTTCAAGTAGAAAAATTTTTCCAAATATGTATCCAAGGAAAAAACGGAATGTTTCAAATGTTTTAAAAGTAAGATCTTTAACATTAAAATAAAATGTGCCAAGTCAAAGGACAGTTGCAAAATCATTAAAATGTTCAGTGTCAACTACAAACAAAGTGATTAATTGATGATAAAGATGTAAATGTGTTTTTATTTCATGCTCTGAAATCTGCAAAACTCTGAACCCCAAGCAACCTTTGGTCACAAATTGATGAAAAAGTGCAGATTTCAGTCTTCTATTGTAATACAATTTCAACACCAGGATACAGGTTTATTATTATTATTATTGCAGGAATAAATTTAAGCAAAATGAACAATACAATAATTATGTACTCAGAAAATCATGCAGCTATTGAAATTAATAAATTAAGACACAGAACTAAGTTATAAAACAATACTGTTGCAATACTGAATGCAAAATCTAAGGTAACAAGGCTTTTGAATCTAAGATAACACTTGATTACTTTTTATTATTCTTGTTTGTATCATATTTAAGCAATCAAAATAATACACTCATACCTCAGCTTTTTTAGCACTGGATGCATCATTGTCATGAAGCTCGGCCCATAATTGTTGGTAACTAATAAAAAATATATATATATATTTTTAGAAAAAGTCAAAACAAAACAAAAAAAGAATTAATTTTGTTTGAACATTGTATAAAGAAAATAATATACAAAATCCTGCTAAGTTGAATGATAACAAAAAATTTTGCTTTTGAAAAGCAGGTAGATTTGCCGTGAATCAAACATCTAGATCACATTATTCAGATTTTAAATTCTAAAAATTTATGTCAGTAATATTTTGTGTAATTAAAAAAGAACCAAAAAAATCATTCACAAAAAGAAAATAAAAATTATAGCTATTTCACTTTCTTTTGCATTAATCTCAATTTTCATTTCTTCGAGGCATAGATTTCTACATTAAGTCTAACAATATTAAATCAAAAGATCAACAAAACCTCCAGCTTTGCAACATAAGATTAAAAAAAATTAAAACATGCATACCTTATTACAAATAATTTTTATAAAGATAAGTGATATACTTAAAAATTTTTGGTTGTGATTCATTATTTAAATTATCTTGGTCCTCTTACTTTAATTTTAAATACGTAATGCCTGCCACTTTTTAAAACCATATCCAGACACATAAGTTTAACAAATGATGAAATCAGCAATGATTATTTTGTTTTCAGCCATAATTCCACAAAAAATCAACTGGGAGATACAAAATTCTAAAGTATCTAGCCAAAAAAATAAAAGGACACATACACCAAAGAGCAAAGAGAAAAACATTTATTCACAGAATGGCACTGGTATACACACACACACACACAAAAAAAAAAAAAAAAAAAAAAAAAAAAAAAGCAGGCCAAGAGGAAAAGCAAACAAACCAAAGATCCTTAATAAGAGGTATGACCTCTCCTAACTGCAATGGTAAAGCTGCACCATCTGATAATACTCATCACCAGATTGTCTAATAGTTCTTGGGGTAAGGGTTCCTATTCTTCCAGGAGTATATGTTTCAGTTGTGGTGATATTCTCCACAGGTAAGATCGTGCAGCCAAGAAAAGGTTGCATGTTGAAAAAATTAATTGTTAACTTTTGTACACTAGTATACTTTTTATAATTATGTACCTGATAAAATTTTAATATTTAAAGAAGAACTGATTAAACTATACTTATTTTGTACCATTCATTAACAGTTTTTCAATGCTAATTCATGTTAGTAAAACTCTTGACTGTTTTGCTGATCACCATCTTCCAGTACAAAAGCTTTTCAAAATCTATAAAGTTTTTCAAGATTGGATTGAAATTGGCACAATGTTGCTCTCTGTATCATTTTCGCTATCAGCCTTAGTACCTGGAGCTTCTTTAATATATTCTGTAATATCCTAGTCATTCTCCCCCTCAAAAAAAAAATTACTCTTTTAATATTGTTATCAACTGCAATGAATTCCAAAAATGAATGCGCATAACTTCTTCCAACTATGGCATTTGCTATAGCTTCCAATATTAACTTCCAATTCATCTGAGAATAATAAAATTCACATTGTCTAAAGCAATTTTTAATTGTGTTTTTATGTAAGCAGCCCTTTTCTCAGTGCAATGATTCTAATGTATATGGCATCTAAGAAAAACCTAGCACCGTCACAAAATTCAGTTTTGTTTATTCCTTCTGAAATTTCATTTGAAAGCTTTGATCATAAATATGCTGGTCTAAAGAAGTTGTTATAATCTCTGCTTAACAGAAATTGTGTGTGATAGCAACCTGATTCATATACTGTGCCGCCCACCAGAAAATAAATATTTTTAATATTTAAAATATTTAATTCTTCATAGAATTCTTAATTTCATTTCACAGAACCTCAAAGCTCCTTGGTACAAATCTAGGAAATGCTGCCCAAGCATATTAGGTACTATTACTCATTACTTTACCTATTCAAATGTAACAATAGAAAAGCATGATTATAAAAAAGTCAACAAGTCAATTAGACACAAATCAATTAAGTTGTAACCTAAAACTGTACTGTCCCAATAATTTCAGATAAATGATATTTTATTGGATTTGCATGATCTATAATATAATGTAAAAAATATATGAAATGGTAAAATACTTAAAACACTTTCAAGTAATTTGATTAGAAATATATATACAAAGCTGGTGTCAGTGCAGATGTGCCTGCACAAGCAGCAAAATTCTGGGATGTCAAAATTTTTAAAATTTAAATGAGGCATAGAACAACTGTGCTTACAGATGGCAAAATTTTTAGAATTTATGGAGACATTGCACAGATGAATTTAGGACCCACAAAGAATGCATTGGGTGGCAAAATGCTTAGCATCGGCTCTGTGTGTACATCATACGCAGTATCCACATTTGGACTTACTGTAGAAACTGATTTTTTTGAAGTTTTCATAAATTATTACACTATGCTATAAATCACTGTAGTTATTACTAAAATGCTTTACATATAAACTTTCATTAATTACTACTAAAATGCTTTATATGTCACATATAAAGGCCATACAAAATTCACAAAACTTTATCCTCTAAATATTTCTCTTTCACATTAATATTTGATTTATTATACTTCAATGAGTGCTTTCACTCTCTTTTATCTGAAGTAAATGATTCAGTTACATTTAGAACAGTTCTGCTCACTGCAATAATATTACAGCTTCTTCACATCTCAGTTTGGCATACAATAAATATGATCCAGGCACTTTTATATTCACAAATATCCATGGAACAAATATCTTATTTCTCTTTTTGTTCTCTCTGGAATTTATCCCAGAGTTTGATTCACAATACTTGAGACTTTTTTTTTTTTTTTAATTGTTTAAGAATTCTTTTGCTAATTTTCTCTACGTAAGGAAAAGATTATCAATGTATTTGGCTTCTCAAATAGCAGCAACGTAAAAATTTTTATCTTATTTATCTGGTTTAAATAATATAAACTTCTAAATGGGTACTGAGTTTTGCTCAAAAACAACTATTTGTCCACTATTATATGCTCTCCAAACTTTTGATTCTGAATACAGTTTTTAATATTCTGATTTCAAATTTTAGAAATCATATCAAACTGTTAATCCAAAGCTACTGAAAAAATACTGATTTTGATTTAAGTCCCAGGAATCTAGACATTTCTTGGAAAAATTTTCAAACTATTACTTTCATATAAAATACTTCAGACAGAAAACCAACTTAAAACAAAATTCATACAATATTGTTTTCATTCTGTGGCATTTGCAGCCATAACTGAGTTTGGGAAGCAACTTAGGATTCACCACTGCCACACTAACTGCTTTCATCTGAATCCCCCAGTCATTTTCTAACAATACAATTTCATAATTAGAATCTAACTCAGAACAACAGTCCTAAATACCAGCAAATTTATTCTACGATACGTTCTCGATAGATATTTGATATCTTCAGAACTCGAAAAGTTTCTGTGAAAACATAGTTACTTGCTACTTCTCCAACAAAATTTAAATTCACTTGCAATTGTAAACTAAAATTTAAAATAATGTAGCTGCAAAAGTGTTTTTACATCAGCCAGGCTGAACCATTTGCAATGACAGTAATGAAAGGAGTTAGATTACCTGTACAAATGTAAAAAGAATTGAAATTCGGTCACATTTGATTATTTGTTAGCACATGCAACAAAATGAAATAAGCTTACTTGGTAGCAAATTGACATAAACACATATTCCAGGTGAAAATGGTCAAAGAAATTATATCAAATTAAAAGGTATAAATTTGGATGCGAGAAGCCAGAAGTACCACTAAACTCTGATTTAGGAAAGATTTTAGGAAATACGGAAGAAACAAAATCACAAACAAAGCTTTGGTGTCAAAATGATATCAACATCATTTAGATTCCTTTCACCTGGTCTTTCTAGCGTTAATATTACTTTATTATTAACATTAATATAATTGAACTAGATACTATCCAACTTGGCCAAATTCTGGATTGTTAACTATATGGAGCTTTGATTTAAATATATACTATCCAACTTGGCCTCCAGCCATGTTGTTAGTCATATGGAATTTTGGTGCTAACTTGACAGAAGGTTACTACAGTAGAAGTCCAGAAATTCACAATGCTTGGGACCAGAGGTCGTACAGATTTTAGGATTTTGCGGATTTCAGAACAGAAAAAATAAATCATAATATTCAGACTAAAAGTGCAATTGTATTGATCATTTAATTAAATTATTATACATTATTAATAATTAGGGTGGAACTTTAATAGTGGCAACACAGCTGAAAAAATGCTACGCAACAAAACTGAAGAATATCACGTATACCACACGTAAACTACATACCTACCTTACCTCTCAGCAAAAAGACTCGTCCTGCCTACGTCACACGCATGCGGAGTGACGCAAAGAATGGATCCTTGTATTAGCTCGCGGTCTAAAGTAAGTGTTGTCAAGATGTTTTCAAAACAAGAACAACGTTGTTGGATAAAAATTAAATGTGCCAGAGGTCATACAGCACGACAGTGTCATCAAGAGGCTTGGGCTTGCGGGAATCTGCATTGCCTTACAGAACCATAGCAAGATGGGTGAAAGCATTCAATGAAGGACGCCAAAACGTGGCAGACATGCTGCGGCCAGGTCGTCCGAGTGTCAGCGATGCAGACGTGCAAGTGACGTTGGACATGACAAACATTAGCGCATGACAGAAGAATGCCTGTCCATAAGAAAAATTGCTTCACGATGGGTTCCACATCACTTGACGGAAATGCAGAAATGGCTACGATACAATGCTGCCAGAACCCACCTGGAGCGCTATGAGCGCAAAGGAGATGCTTTTTTACGGCATGTATCATTACGCTGGATGAGACTTGGGCGCGATCGTACCAGCCAGAACTGAAACGCCAATCAAACGAATGGTGTCATCACAGGTCACCACGACATTCGAAATTTCGTCAGAACCCCAGCAATGTGAAAGTTATGGTGATTATCATGTTCAACTGTGATGGTGTCATTCTAACACATACCGTTCCCCCACAGCAGACCGTCAATAAATAATAAGGCCATTTTTTGTTCACATCTGGAAGTTTTTTAAACTTAGTGCTCAGAAATTTTTTTTTGTAATTAATGAGTCTAATTCTCTCCGCACGCTTGGTTACAGTTTAGTTTTCCATTCCACCCGCTTAAATTATTTCTCTCGCTGCACTTCATATGTGTCGGTGTCAGAATCATTTTCATGCTGTGATAAGTTCAAAACAGAGCGAATGATTTCATCATCGGTCATCTGATATGCCAGTGTTGGCCCATCTGAACACATCATACATTCAGCGATATCTTCTTCTTGCACAGCCTCCTCATTTATTCTATTTTTTGAATATGAAAGCAATTCTCTTGCTTTAGCCCTTGCTGTACTGACTCTAAAACCAGAAAATTCACTGTCATCACTCTCAGTTTCGATGAACAGAGAAGATGACTATACATTTATGCCAAGCATTTACTAATGTTGTTTGGAAAACTGAATTTCATGATTTTGCAAACTAATAAATGCAGTCTTTGATGGTGAATTTGAAATATAATGGTCACCTGAAAGATTTTTTTTCAGAAACTCTGATTTATTTTTTTACCTTGATACAAATTGGAAGGGAAAAAAACTTTTACTATGATGTCAATAATTTGGTATTTCTTGCTCTGGTATTTCCGTTATGAGTCATTATTATTCTGTAATTAAGACATCATTATTTGGCAAGTATTTCTTCTTCGATATTTCGTTCTCCATGTTGCGGTTTCTGGAACCCATAAATCGAATTTTATATTTTGAGAGGCAAATGCAGATTTCAGGAGTTGGCAGATTTTCGCTATTTTACTGTATTCTCTCTGATGAGCAAGAAAAGTAGCATGTATGTAGTAGATTTTCTGACACATAAGACGGATACCCAGCTAGTATAGTGGTTAGTGATGCTGACTACTGTACCGATTAGCCCAGGCTCAAATTCCAAAGACAAGATGGATGTTTGTAAGTATATAATATCTGTGTGGCAAAGGAGCACTAAAAATACAAGGTAAGCCAAAAGTCCTCTCAAGAGATTTGTGGTAGGGAAAGAAGAGTGAGAGACTTTCAGCTGCCCCCCTAGGGTATTCTCCCTAAAATTTGGGACAAAACTGCACAATTACTGTGGCGAGTCAATACCTGTACGATCAATAGTGAACTTCTGGTGTCCTGCCCGCTTTTATCTGTACCTGAACCATAGCCAGGTTTTCAGCTACCTGGGACAACCAGATTTCAACTCCCCTCTTGTTTGCAAAACATTTCATTCTAAAATTCTATATCAGCAGTCCTGAATGCTGCACCTGGGAACAGATGTCCCCCATTACACCACCACCCCGGAAATACACCACTGACCTGCACATAATATGGCTACAGGTTATTATTGTATACATATGGCTATGGCTATGTTAGCTGTGGTAATATGTGAAAAAAACTGAATTGTTTTATAGTACTTCACCTTTCTTAAATTTTAATATTTTTTTTTTTTTTTTTTTTTTTTTTTTTTTTTTGCTATGATTGTAAATATATTTTGCTTCATTAAATAGCATATATATTGTACATTAAATACCAAACAAATAATGAAAAAGGCATTATGAAGCGAAGAAATAATTATTCATAACATTTATTTTATTTAGTACTTCTAGAAAGGAAATTTACAGAGATATTTTCATGGAGAGAAGAGTTAATGAAAATATCTAATATGTTTTAGACATCAACACAATAATAACAGATCTGTACCATTAAGTGACACACATTTTGTATTTAACACCTATATCTTGCAATAACACAAAACATTTAACAATATTTTTTGAAAACGTAATCTTACTAGTGAAGTAAATCTCCTCCTGCATTCTGGGATATCCCTTTATAGCTTTGCTTCTTTGCTCTAAAATAAGACAATTTTTATCATAGCATATAACATAAAGGCAATAGAAACACAGTTTCACTTTAAAATAGATGCCTGATCACTCAGAAAGTGAATAATAATACATAAATGCTAAAGAAAATTTAATATCTTAAAATATATGTATAAAATTACAATATAATAACAAAAAGGAAAATTTTATTTTGCATATGTAATGATAATTTGATCTAAAAAGTTAAAAGCTCTAAAGAGTTAAATAAAAAGCAAAGAATTTTTACCTTGACTGAGAATCTCCAGTAGCTAAATTCCTAAAGCTAAAAAAATATATAATAAAAATTGCATTACAAAGCAAGATAACTAAAATTCAGCAATTTTAATTGAATAATTTGGCTTATGAAAACTAAAAGCATTATAATGTGTTAATAAAATTTACAGTTAAAATTTAGGTCAAATTTATTTAAGATAAAAATTGCAATTGAAAGAAATAAATTTCTTCATAAACAAATACTGACTATCATAATTGGTACAAAACTTTATATTTATTCACATAATAGAAATTATTGGAAGCCTTCAGAGATTTAAAAAAATCCGATAAGGCCAGCACATAATCTCCCACAATTCTATGTTTTAAACAGCAACGAGCTTTAAGTAAAGCATCCCTTCTGGTTGGTCATTTGCAAACAAAATCTAGTTTGTTTTTTCAATAAACAGAAAGATCTGTCATCTGAAATTTTGGATTATAACTGACCATGTGTAAAAGAACTGGTTTTTTAAATTGATATACCATAGCCAAATGCTTCCCATTTTATTTCTTTTCATTAGAATCTGTATTTTATTAGGGAATTGATCAATACTGAAAAACAGGCTGCAACTCGTGCCAATTTTCAAAAATCCCAGAGCTTGAAAACCCAAAACGCTGAAACCCACTCATTGATGAAGAAATGATCAAAGAATGTGCAATTGTAATAGCCGAAGAAATGTGCCTTGAAAAAGTAAATTTATTCAAAACTGTCAGCTTGTCAGAAAACACCATGGCTTGGAAGGTAGTTGACATTGCAGAAACTGTATCATCTCAAATGTCTGGCAAAAATGGACATCTTGAATGATTTTCTCTTGCCTTGGATGAGTCAATGGATGTGTTGGATACTGCTCAGGTGTTGATTTTCATTAGAGGAGTAGTTAAAAGCTATGAAGTGTATGAAGAACTTCTTGATATTGATAGTATTCATGGCACGACTACTGGAGAAGACGATTTTAAAGGGACTACTGGGGAAGATGCTTAATACTGACCAGATAAAAGAGAGGGAAAAAATAGAGAAGAGAAGTGTTTTAATATTAAAATTGTGTTGATGATCATATTATGCTACAACATAAAAATTACTTTATGCCGTAACATCAAAATTATATTGCAAGGGAGTAATGCCTGCTTTTTTCATGAATGTGAACATAAAGGTTTACATATTATTTATGTAAACAGTTGTCTATTAAGCTACTGTCCTGAGTGCTCACAGAGTAATTAGCGATGCTATTGCACTACTGTGACTGACATGAATTCTGAAAAAGGCAAAGGCATGGATATTTATAATGTATAGTATCTTTGCTTATATTTATAATGTATAGTATCATATGGGGTTGTTGACAATAATGGCAAGCCAAAAGTATTCTCGAGTGATTTGGTTGCAGGGGAAGAAGAGTGGAATACCCTCAGACTATCCTTTTTTTCATGTGCTCACTAAACTGAGAAGCAGCTACATGATTAGGCAGTCGGACCAGCGCTTAAATTCTGTTGGATCCTGGCTCCGGTACTTCTTACTTTCCAGTACTTAATTTCTGAGATAAATCATAATTCTAGCCAAAGCGTACCAGAGCCCTAAATAAAAGGGCTGCAGTACATCTTTTATATAAGTGAAGCACAGTTTCAGCACACAAATTTTATTTTACAAATAAATATATCTCTAAAATTGATTTAACTTCCAAATTCATGCCTCTCTTTCTCTGGGGAACAAATATTTTGATAGAAGTTAAGACATTTAAGGAAAGAAAATCCCCCATCCACATGTCAAAGGCTTATTCTCCAGGTAGTACAATAAATTTTTAAAAGTGGGTAAAATGTTTTGTTCCCAAAAGTATTTGCAGTGATTACCTTGGTCTTCCACGTCCAGTGCTAGTGGCCTCTCACTGCAGAGCTTAAGACATTTAAGGAAAGAAAATCCCCCATCCACATGTCAAAGGCTTATTCTCCAGGTAGTACAATAATTTTTTAAAAGCGGGTAAAATGTTTTGTTCCCAAAAGTATTTGCAGTGATTACCTTGGTCTTCCACATCCAGTGCTAGTGGCCTCTCACTGCAGAGCTCCTGAAGACTTGAACTACGTAATTAAATCTGGGAGACAAAAATTATCACGTATGCAGATCTTACATTTGTTTGTATGTTGTCACCAGATCGGATTTGGGGGAAATTTTTTTGTCCAGTCGCATTTTGCTTAAATAGAATTATACTGGCATGGGATCGCAGCCAAGAAGTGTTGGACACTTCTCTGTTTTTGAAGCTACAATTCTCCATTAAAACTTCTTTCCATACTCTCATATTAATTCTAGCATTCTCTCTATTTTCATTAGCAGCACTTTAATCGTTTTACTTTTTTCCCTTTGGTGTGACAGAAAAAGAAGTTCCCTTTCCACTGAAATCATACTTTTTTACTGCATATTTAGGACCTAAATTCCGCCGGCTGAGCTATTTCTTAGTTTTTGTTTGAAATTGTAAGTCCAAATAAGATGAGGTCCGATATTTGTTTATTTAACTATTTATAATTAATTTAATAATTTATTAATTTTTTTATTTATATGTTTATATTTACTAAATTTTAATTTCAATCTAATTATTTTAATTTTTAGTTATTTTTAGAAAACTCCCTCAGAAACAAAGGGCTTTGTTTCTGAGGGACTATTGTTTTCGTTTTATGATTTTGCGTTGAATCACTCTGAATGTCCATTTCACTTTTCAAACTGTTGCCACCAAATATTATTGCCCTGTATTATATTTGAAGAAATTAAATAATGAAAAATCTGCATATATGTATGTTTCTTGCATTGTGATAAAACAACAGCACCTAGAGCCCTCAAATCAGACACTGAAGAAACTCTGCATTGCTCATATACTCAATCTGCCTTCACTTAAAAAATCGAAGAACTGCAGAAACTCGCGCATAACCAGCTCCATTGATTCGAGTTATAAATAAAATGTTTCCAGAAAAATCATGCAACAACGAAAATAAAACTACCAGAATAAGTTAATGACCTAACATTGAAATTGCCATATTTCCCAAGCTCCCAGTATTTCATTCAGGTCAATTCGAATTGTCCTTTTGTCTGCCGAGAACTGTGGAAATTTCTTTTAATTGCTCCCCAAGTCCCCTCAGTACTGTTGGTTATGCGCACCTGTCTCGAAATCTTTAAACCACAAGCTATGATTCACTTTTAGCTGTGCACATCCTTCCAAAGAGACAGTTATAGGCTTCCCAGCAATCCGAAATAACAGTTGATCCAGGCAGAACATTCTGTTTAGCAATTTCTCAAACCTACTGCAAATATGGGCATCTGGAAGCCCGAATTTGTTTTATTATCGATTTCATATTTTGTAAAACTTTAACAAATTTCTGATTAACAAACTCGGGGATTTCAAAGCGAGCAATGGCAACATTGTAAAGAAAATGCATTTTAATCTCCAGCGTGTGAGACTGTGTATCGGAAATTCTAAAGAAATGCTAACTTTAAAATTATTTTGCGATATTGCTCTTGAACTGAATTTTATGGTTTAAGTGTGAAGAACATGATATTCAATAAATAAAGGTCAGTGGCGTTTTTTTAACAAAATGTTAAAAAAATGCCACTTTGAATGCAATTTAAAATCTGAAACCTTTTTTTTTTTTTTTTCTCCTTTTTAATTTGTTTATTTTCTTCCCCTTCTTCTTGATGGCTTTCAAGAAGACTCTGGTACTTCCAATTTTCGAAATTAAGGCCTGGGTGGGACTACATCTGTATGACCAATGGTGAAATGTTCAAAGTTTTTAGTTTTCAATACATCCAAAACTATTTATACCTTAAAAGTCGTTCTAATATTCGGTGCCTATGAGTCGGCTTACTCATTCAGTAAAATCAAGTGCTTCTAATTTTTGTCAATATACTTAACACTAAAATACAAAGTAGCATTTTCAGATTTATGCTCTTAATGAAAATACGACAAACAATTCCAGGGCTTATAAAATAATATAGAATAAATCACACTAATTAATCTTCAAATCTTCATTATAAATCAGTTCCCCCCCCCAAAAAAAAACGGTAAATCACCTTTAAAGATTAAATCACCTTTAAAGATTAAATTCTAGGTACGACTAAATATTAATTTAAGGAAAACTACTTTTCTACATACAATTTGATACTTTTGATAACAGCGCATTATATGCAACAATCCACAGACTACAAGGATTTCGACAGCTTTCAATTTTTATACAGTGACCAATACGCTTCGCTTCAGAAAATATTTAAATAAAGAAACTCCATTTTTACTTCGGCTTTCAAGCCCTGTTGGTAAGTTAGCTTGACGAAATGCCATCAAAAACGCCGTTTGGTACGGATGTCTCACATATAGTAAATTACTCAGACTCAGCAATATTATTATTTCTTTAACAGAAAAAAAGACTCACCTGGCTGATAAATCATACTGAACGTTTAGAATTTTATCTCTTAAATTCTCCAACATGTTTCTTTTAATTACATCAAGGGATCGGCAAACAAGTGCGTTTTGCTTGATTAGGAAGAGCGAAAACAATCACGATGTAAACAAGTGGGCAGAGCTTTACACGTTGGCTCTTTCACAAACGCAAACACACATTGGTTGATGTCAAAATATATCATTTGGCGCCAAGCTGAAAAGTGTCTGCTGAGTTTTGCATTTGTTACAAAGTGCAGGTGGCACTGTGCAGGAGTATTTTAATCAAGAAGGTATTCTAACCTTCTTGATATTTATTTCAAATTAAGTAACACGTTTTTAACTAAATGGAATTTGTTTTATAACTTTTGATTGTATGTAAATCCTCACTTTATTCATTATTTATGTTATTTTTTTACACCACACGATGGCAATTCTTCAGTGGCAAAGAGCCACCTTCTTTTTTACTGATCATATCTTGTTTCTTTGACACCTTCCTAGATCTTTTTACTTCCAGGATGCCTTATGTGAAGACAACTGGCATAAAGTCTGTAATATCACTCAGGCTAAGCTCAGTATAACAGCGGTAAATGGAATGGAATAACTTCCTTGAGTTTTATAAGATCTATTGAATGATGAAATTACACAACCAGAAAAATTATTTATTTTAAATGTAGCCAGAAATTTATAATATACACTTTCATATCATTTTAAATGGGAGAAGTGTTATTAATAGTGGATTATCTGTTCATTCATGAAATGTTTTGTATGAAAACCAAGATATTTTCTTAAAGCTTGAAAACGTTGGCTATCAAATTGCCGACCTTGGTCAGATGTTGTGCGATTCAGAATTCCAAAGCGTGAAAATCAAGTATAAATCAAAGCTTTAGCAATAGATTCTGCTGATTGATCTTCTAATGGTACTGCTTCGATCCATCGTGTATAACGATCGATGATGGTTAGAAGGTATTTGAATCCTTTACGAGGAGGTAGCGGAAAACCAGATCTATGTTTAAATGCTGGAACCTGTGTGGAGGTACTTTGAATTCTCCCAAAGATGACTGTGTATGTCTGTGAACTTTAGATCTTTGGCAAGATAAACATGCTCTAGTCCATACTTGGCAGTCTTTATTCATATTGGGCCATATGAAACGTCGTGTTATCAATTTTATCGTGGATCTTAATCTAGCATGAGATAAATTATGGATTGACAAAAATATTTTCTACCGAAACTTTGCAGAGATGTATGGTCGATTATAATTTGTAGAAGTATCACAGTACATTTTCTTGTCGCTGTCCGGTATAGGGATCTGTAGGAATTTTAAGTTTGGGTTGTTTTTAAGTATCTCCAAATCTTCATCTTCTTGACAGTCTACTATAGTTTGTAAGTCTATTGCAGATGGTACAGAAATGGTGTCTATCTGAGAGAGAGCGTCGGCGACGGTCTTTTGATGCCCTTGTATGAATCGGATATCGGTTGAGAACTGGCCAATATAGGACAGTTGCCTAGCTTGTCGTGGCGACGCTTTTTCCAAATTTTCAAATTCGGACGCTTTTTCCAAATTTTCAAGGCAAATGTTGGTGGTTTGTGATCCGTGTATATTGCAAAAGGTCGCTCTTCTAAGATGTATTTGAAATGTATAGATGGCTAAGAGTTCTCTGTCGTAGGCACTATATTTTTATAGTGCTGGTGTCAAATTTCGGGAAAAGAAACGTAAGGGTTGTTTTTCATTGTTCACAATCTGATGTAAAATGGATCCAATGGCAGTGTCGGAAGCATCAAGTTGTTAGCGATATTTCAGCCTTTTCAGATGGTTGAGTTAAGTTTGTAGCATGAATAAGTGCATCTTTTAAGATCTGGAAGGCGTTTCTCGTTCCTGCCGTCAAGGTTATTTCTTTTCTGCAGTTCCTTTTAATACTCCTGAGCAATGCTGTTAAAGATTGTTGCAATTTTGCACAATTTGGTATGGATATGTGATAAAAATTCACCATACCTAAAAATCATCTTAAACTAGTAAATGACTTTGGTTGTGGAAAATTTTTGATGGCATCAACTTTCGTTGAAAGAGGTTTAAGTCCTTCAGCTTATAAGGTATTTCTCCCACTTTCCAAGCGTCCTTCGTTGTGTAGTGGTTTTGCACACTGGACCGGTATTCCAGAGGTCCGCGGTTCGATTCCCGGCGAAGGCGTTGTTCATTTTTCATCTCTCTTGCTTCCGAAAAAATCCTAATGACTCTACAAGCTGACACTTCGTATCCTAGGAATGCAAGTTTTGTTTGACGGAATTTACAAAATTCCGTCAAACAAAACTTGCATTCCTAGGATACGAACACGCATTAATACATATTTACTACGCATTAATACACAGGCCATATTCATTCAGTCTCTCAAGGACTGCTCGTATATGTTGTCGATGAGTTTCTTCATCTGGAGAGGCTATTAGAATGTCATCCAAATAGCAAAACACGAATTCTAGTATATTTAACGCACTATTCATGAAACGTTGGAACGTTTAGGCCGCATTTTGTAAGCCGAACGTCATGAATGGGAACTCAAATATGCCAAAGGGAGTGAGTATGGCCGTTTTCGGAATATCTTCTTCGCGAACCGGAATTTGTTCGTACGCTGTAATGAGGTCTATGGATGAGAAAACTCTTTTTCCAGCTAAAATGGAACTGCAGTCTGTTAAAAATGGCAGAGGGTATCTATCAGGAATCGTGACGTTTAACGCTCGATAAGTATCCACACGTTCGCCAATCACCTGATTTCTTCATAGCGAGATGCAGCGGGCTCGACCAGTTACTTTTGGATGGCCTGCATAAACCCATTTGAAGCATAAATTCAAACTCCTTTTTAGCCGCTTTGACTTTCTCAGCTGATAGTCTCCTAGCTTTAGCGAAAACTGGTGGACCTCTGGTTTCGATATAATGTTCGATGTTATGATTTTTAACTTTATTATTAACTACATTCAGTTTTAACTAATCCGGAAAATCGTTAATGATACGTTTATATGGAGCATTTATGGCATTTAAAATGAGAATATTATTATTCTTATTTTGAAAACAAGGAATTCCATTGGTTGTTAACAATGTAGTATCATCAATCAACTTCCGATTTTTGGAATCTACCAAAAGGTTAAAATTTGCAAGAAAATCCATGCCTATTATCGGTTTGTTTACTTCCGCAATTACAAAAGGCCATGTGAACGATCGTCTGAGTCCAAGATCAAGCTTGAGTAATTTTGGGCCATATGTTTTGATTTTCGTACCATTTGCAGGAAAAAGTTCTAATTTTGAGATGGTTTTTTTATCTGCAGGTAAGGGTGGAATGACAGAAATTTCTGCGCCGTTATCTATTAAAAATTGGGTAGCCTATTCTTTGTCGCTGATGAAAAGACGACTCAGCTGCAACCCTTGTCCCTCCGTCGTCAATGAGAGACGGGGAGCTGGTTTTCCGGTCTATTTGTCTATGATTTTGATGAGCAGTTGCAGAGTTGTTTACACTTAAATGACTTATCACCGAATATTAACAAATATCACTAGATCTGTTACCACTGTAACTCCTATCTCTTGATTTGAATCGGTTACGACAATAGGGGACTGTGACGTTGCTTGGATAAAGCAGAAACTTGTAAGCTAAGTTCACTAACCTGTTTTTGTAAACTTTCGATCACTTCCGTTTTCACCGTTATAGATGAAGTAGCAGCTATTTGGGGAGTAACAGGGTTTAATTCCCAAATCTTATCGGCCATTGTAGCCACATTTGACAGATCTTCACCACTAACAGATATAAGATATAATGCTACGCATATTAACGGGTAAATGTTGTAGCCTCAATGTTTTTAGGAAAGTATCTGTTACTTTATCACCCGCCAAATTACGCATCTCACACAGCAATTGAGATGGCTTTTTGTCACCCAGTTCTAATTCACTCAGTAATTTTTGGGTTTTTTGAGTCTCTGAATCTGCATATAATGAAATTAGTCTATTTTTAACTGCCTGATATTTATTATCTTGTGGTGGACTTAGCAAAATATCGGGTTCAATGGAACTTATAACATAATCATATTTTGTTTGATCTGCATTTATTTTTGCATTTTTTAAATTGTGATTCTAGTTGAATAAACCATATTTTAGGATCTGGCTTCCAAAAAGGAGGAACTTTAAAGCTTACCTTGGCGATAGACGCAGTTGTTGCTCTAATTTCGGTTTCCTCTTCGTCAGCTATAGTAGAATTCGATCACGCCGGGGTACACCAGTGAAGTGTCTCGTATGCAAATGTAGGAAAATAACACTTCTCTGACTCCAATAGAACCAATATTTTATTCCTTACGAAGTTATAGATGCTTATTTATAAATTTATTTACATTTTACATGCACGTTGAATCGCGTGTTAGAAAACTGAACTTTGTTTACTTCGTTATTCGCGTATAGCAAGTGTTGCCATTCCGCCTTGACTAAATTAGAAACTTGACGGAGCCGAAACGACACTACAGATACCATTATTCAGTTCGTTATCTCATTTCAATAGTCATTCGTAAAAAATGGCTGAAATCATCAACGCTTCCGAATCAACCAATAGTCTATTGATAAACGCTTTAGTCCATTAAATCAGCGATGATATTTTTCACTACCATATATATTGATCTAGCATAGAACGATCACACAATCTTTCGGTATTTTACACCCCTCTGAACTTTCAGTTTTAAATAAGATGTGTATTGGAGCAATGCACAATAGAATGAGCCGGTAAACCTAAGGGACCTAATTCGTTTGCATTATGAACTTTCCCAAGACTGTACTTAGATGACAAATTAAGCCATTCATTTGTCGATCGTGTTCCTGCAGCAGGTAAATCAGAAGTTTTTACTTCACCATGAATGCATTTGTAAACAATGTTTCCTCTCTTCTACTGGCTAAACTAGCCATCTGTTACTGTAAAATTATCTTTTCCTACTTTTATGACTAATACTCTTTTTCAAAAGATTTGTAAACAAACCACTTTTACTGCTTTCTCAACTATATGATTTTTCCTTTGATTTTGCTTTAATTTGCAAAGCCTATAAATACAACTTTATGATTTGTTAAAACCTTACATAAGAATCGGGTGAGAACACTTAAATTAAAAGTAGCATCCTATTGACTCATTTTTGGGAGTTGATCAC